AATGACTTATTATATATGACTTATTATCATATGTGAATTATTATTATATATGACTTATTATTATATATGACTTATTATTATATATGACTTTTTATTATATATGACATTATTATATATGAATTATTATTATATATGACTTTTTATCATATATGACATTAATCAAAAATTCCAACTGTTGTAACATGCCTTTTGCATAATCAGGTTTGTTCGCATTGCAATCATATGCAGTTCTCGTTTAAATTAAAAAGAAAAAATGATTATTCGTAAAGTGCGTGTTAGTAAAAAACTTATACCAACCAGAATTTTTTGTTTTACTAGAATACAAACTTGACTCTTAAAGAAAGATTGTCTTGTTCAGAAGCCTCCTCATACTTCGGCGCTAGTAATACACTACATGAGGAAACACCTGAGTTTTATAGAAATTGGTTGCCTCTGACTCTTGTTATTCTTGAAACAGACGTTTCACCTACCTTATTGATTCATATTATTTAATCTTTTGATTTTCTTCTTTTGCTTTATTTCTTTTCCCCTCTCTTTTATCCTTTTCACGTTCTCCTCTTCATATTGTTGTTGTTGTATCCATTGTAGGTGTTCTTCTCGTTATCACACATTGTACTCTTGTTCCTCTTCTTCTCCTTATTCGTTTTTAAAAATTGTCCTTTTTTTTAAGACTGCATGGATAAAAACCAACGCTGTCAGGTGTGGGAAAGCAAAGGATACTGCAAAGGCCGATACGAAAAGTATATGAAAAATAACTGTAAGAAGTCCTGTAAACACTGCGGCGGCGGTGGTAATGGAGGCGGCGGCGGTAATGGAGGTGGCGGCGGTGGAGGCGGAGGTGGAGGCGGAGGCGGTGGTGGAAGTGGGGGAGGAGGATTCGAAAAATGTGGATTTAAACCAAGAGCACGCATTGTCGGTGGCAATGAAGCCCCAAAGGGAGCTTGGCCATGGCAAGCTCAGGTCAGGACACCTTCTGGTTTCACCTTTTGTGGAGGAACTTTGGTTCATCGACAGTGGGTTGTAACAGCGGCTCACTGTACCGCCAAAAAATCCGCCTCCAGCATTCGTGTGAGGTAAGGTTTCTTCTGGAATCTTCAACTCGAAGAATCATTATTTCAATGCAAGATAATTTCCAATTGATTCCCAACTTGAGCGAGCCTTATCCACCTAGTCATCGCGGCTAATGAATCCTTGTTCCTAGAGGTGTTTATGCCAGATATGGAAGAAATTCAAAGCCAATGGCTTTAGAATGAACAAGATATTGATCGAAAAATGACTGAAAAGGAGAGATATGAAAGAAGGAGTATTGTTAATTAGAAGTAAAATCTCTTAACACTCGTTGTTTATTTGGTTGGTTCTTCAATCTCTTTTCTTCTCAAGTTGTTACAACGGGGACTACTCTCTATCTAATAAGAAAAGCGAGGGTCACCGTTTATGAAGGTGACACTTCAGGTGACACTTCTAAGCTGTCAATCTTCTTGAATCGTCATCGTTCCATCTTAGCCAGCGAATCATGTTATATTACGTCGCCTGTTATATTACGTCGCCTTATTAACCGCCGCCTGGTTAGCTCAATTGGGAGAGCGCCGGACTGCTGTGCGGGAGGTCGAGAGTTCAATACCGGCCGGACCAACACTCAGGGTCTTAAAATTAACTGAGAAGAATATGCTTCCTTTCTTTAACATCAAGAAATGGTTAGATATTCTAGTCTTCTCGGATAGGGACGAATAAATGGAGGTCCCGTCTCCTGCAGGGTTAGGGGCAGGAGACGTTAATTTCCCACGCACGAGATTACTGTGTGATGGATGTCCTCCCCTGGGGTGGG